AAAGAAAGAAAGAAAGAAAGAAAAGGCAGAGGACAGCAAACCCAGTCTTTCGCTGGTTAAATCTGAATGCAGCCCTCCTTAGGTTATCTCACCAGAAATGTAGCTCCAGAAGCCAAGGTGCAGTAGAGAAAAGTAAGGGTCATGGAATTCAGGGCTTACACTCTACATCTAGCAGCACATCCTGTTTTTTTGGTTTTTTGCTTTTTTTTTGAGAAGGGTCCTGCTTTGTAGCCCAGGCTGGCCTCAAACTCGCAAAGATGCTCCTGCCTCAGCCTCCCAAGATCTGGGATGACAGGTGCTCACCACCACACCCCAGAAGCTCCCAAATCTTTAATATAAAAAAAAAAAAATCTCGCAATAGCCCCAATACACAGTAACTATCGGGTCTTTGCCACCTTCTCCTGGCTCCTTCCAGATTAGCATGTGCTTAAAAGAGGAATTTCCCCCATCTGTCCTGACATATCCACTAGACTAGGTCAGGTGGGGAAGATGTTAAGTACAAAAAAGAAACCATGCCTAGCACCTAGTATTACATCTTAAAAACAAGAAGGAGACCAAGAGACTGAGAGAAGCAGACAGGAAAGGGACAGAAAAAATTAAGATATAAGAGGTGGGGAAACAGCTCAGCCGTTACAGCACCTGCCTGGCAAATGCAGGGTCCTGAATTCCATTCCCTCGCCAAAGAGGAAAAAATAGGAATGAAGATATGTTGTGTATATGCATCGATTCCACACAAGCAATGTAGTCAGTACATACTGCAAACACACACTACTGAAGCTTAAATTTAAAAATTGGGGCCAGAAAAAAAAATAGGGACCGGGATGTAGCTCTGCTGCACAGCGCCTGCCTGGCAAGGACAAGGTGCTGAATTCGACTCCCGATATCAAAAAAATAATATCAATCAACCAATCAATCTTAAAAGCATCACCAAACTTTGACTAGGACAACCTCGGTAAATAACAAACACTTCTACAGCATATAAAAAGGATGGACAAGATAACATCCAAATGCTAACAATCATCTGAGGTCTGTATATCTCTTCCTCTTAACTTCTCTTTATTTTGTATAGTCAATCTGTAACTTGTTACAATACTAAATGGAAATCTTTAGAAAAACAAACCATTCTGCCTTCAAATTTCACCACCTGCCTATCATACTTTAACGTGTTACTACATGCAAGAGAGCTAGCACCGTCTGAGACAGACAGACACCATTTCCTCCACGTTGCAGATTAAAACAAACTGAATGATTCTGTCCAGGTTGTGCAACTAGCACCCAACGGAGCAAAGCTTATAGTGCAGACCTTCTAAGTTTAAACCCTGGGTTCTTTCCGCGCCGTCACACCTCAAAGGGCAACTCGCGATTTTGTTTTTTTTTTAAAAAAAGGCAAGACGAACCTCTCCAGGGCCTGGAGACTGTTTTAAGAGCACTTGCCGCGGATGCCTGGGCAGGCAAGTCCTTAACTTCTGAGGGCCTCAATTTCCTCCTCGGAAAAGCGAGGGGCGAGAAAGGCACTCAGCCCCTCGCCGAGGAGGAACTCAGGCGGGGATGAGACCGAGTCGGAGCGGCCCAGGGCAGGAAGGAGCGCGGGCCGGAGCGCGCGGCCTAAGCCGGGCCGGCGCCCGCGCACGAACAGGTGGTGGCCGGCCGAGCGCGGC